TAGTTTCTATTACGGCCTCGCTCATCGTGGGTGACTCTCAAGCTTTGTCTGTTGGATGGTTTCTGATTTTGCGGTCACGTAGTGGCCAGGTGACTTTGATTGGGAGGCGACTCGTAATTTCAACAAACCCAGGGCTGAAGCTGTCACTGGGCCTGTGCTGGAGGAGTCGAGCAGCGAGAAGAAGGCAGATGTCGCGACCGGTATCGAATCTGTGTCCGGCTCGTTCGATGTTGCTGGGGACAATGAAATAGATCTTGTGAAGCTGAAAAAAGCATTCCGTTTTGCGACCTGGTCTTCTGTTGGCCTAGTGAGTACAAACATTCTCAATCCCAAGAATAGGCGTGGTTCTAATCGAGTGGTGGGCTGCAGTTTGTCGTTCTTGTCCTACTTATTCCACTTCCGCTGTTCGGTTCAGCGCGGGTATACGACGTCAAAGACTTGACTGTTTGGGTCGCCTTTGGGATTGCTTGGACATTCTTATCTGCCTTCACAGTTGTGCTTTATCCGCTGTATGAAAGCAGAACAGCTCTTGTGCGGGTTGCCAAGGGTATTGTGAAGGTTTGTTCGTTTCGTATTCAAAATTGAATAGGTCTGACACATATTTTCTGCTTTCAGGATATTTTTGCGAACGGGAGCGGCAGATATGTCCCCCATACGAGGACTGGGGCTTGAATTTCCCTTTCCCGCTTATGATGTGGTTCTAAGACATGAAAAATCAACCTTTGTTACTGTAACTTGATCATGTACCTATAAGCAACGGGAATACCTTTAGGTGGTGGGTTGTTGTGGAGAATACCCTGTAAATGCGCAGCCACTAGGTGGATTAAGCAAGGATAGATCAGATCAAAAGGGAATGAATCGGGCTTGGGACTTTTTGTGAAAGAAAGACTTGAACCGGGGAAATAAATAAGGGTGACATGGCTGTATCATTCCACTTTTCTGTAACCACTTGATCCTCTACAGAGGGTATTTTCATGTATGGTTGGGAAATTTCTTCTCACTTTATTGAATTCAACAACATCCAACCTTCGATATTCATGTGGAAGAAGCTGCAGGAGCCAAGTCCCATAAACTACTCTGTGACGGCTACCGTAGCCCCAGTATACGGAATACAGAAAACCATCAAGTCCCGCATGCAGCATTATCATATTCTATTGTACTTTGCGGAAATCAGCACGACAAAAACACTGCAGCAACTGAAGCACATCATCCCGGGCGAACCGCCAACCTCGAAACAAGATTCAAAAAAACCTTAGGTAGTCATAAACCATTACTTTGAGCACGGAATTGACGAATTCATTTGTATGGGGATAAGAAAGTGAGTATGCTGAACCAGGGATACCAGGTACTAAAACAAGCTCTCCGTTGGCAGCGTTATGAACATAAACAAGGAATCGGAAGGAAGCCTAGAGCTCACCTGAGCTTCGAAAATAGTAGCTTTTGTTGTATTTGGGCAGGAGCTCAAGGCAGCGCTTGAGAAGGGCATTATGCACAGCTGGGGACGTGGTGTAAAAGGTGCCAGAGCGCATTGGAAATCGTAAAATGTGTTGAGAAAAGAATAGGAAGTGAAGGGAGGAGCTCAGACACAGACACTGACACTGACACAAAAGGAAGGAATAAGATTCATTTGGGGGGAGTTGAGACACTCCTTATATACCTAAATGACATGGTCTGTGCACTACTGGTCATGTGAATACTGAAACTGGTCATATTCTAACAAAATGACTTGTGATAAGAGTAGACAAACCCTCCGAGGTGACAACGTACTTGGGTCCATTGTGAGAGCACACATTGTCCTGGCGAAGCAACCTAGGTGGAGGAGGGGATGGAAGTACGGCAAAGGAAAGTCCAGCTTTACCGAAGGAAGACATTTTAGAACAGACGCAATACTAAGTTTTCATAGAGATCGAACGCAATTGCACCTGGTCGTAATCACAATAGTTATGGGCATAATTGATGAGCAAACGGCCAGTATAAAACACTCACCATATATCCGCGCACGCACACAAGCGTCACTCAAGGTATCGCATAGAACCCGAACACTGAACCTCGAAACTCCCCCCAAAATCAACATCAAAACCATTTAAATAATTTGAAAAGCATCGCCATTAGTTCACATTAGCAGAAGAAGTAACGATAAACTCGAACAACAATGAAATAAAAAAACCGGGACAGGCAATAAAATCCGCACCCATATCCTTCAATCATCATCAATAACAATCACATCATCCATCATCTGGTCGTGCGCCCCATCCAGTATGATCAATCCATCCTCATCCAACCGCCTCTTCTTACTGGGACTGTGTTGTACAATGGAGTGTTCTCGCTTTCTCGGCGCCTTAGGACCTCCGCGTGTAGCGATCAATGGTCGAGACGGCCGTCTTGGCGTCGGGTCGATCTCGATGACACCGTTCTCGTCCTCTTGAACTGTTTCTTTCTCTGGACGGGGAGGTGTGGCGGGTGTGGCGGATACAATAGGCTTAATTCGCTTTGGTGGTCTCGGCAGAGGATCCGGGAGGATGTAGGGAGACGCATCGATTCGATGATTCGGCCTGCATTTCCATTGTCAGACTCGTATCACAGAAGAATCAAGTATTAAGACTCACGGAAGCGAACACAAATTCACAGAAATAGTTCCCCATTCTCCATCCTCATCCACAATCGTCAAAAACTTGCCTCTAGTAACATTCAAACTCTCCAACGTCCTTTCATTGTTATCATCCCAATCCGGATCACTCAACACGCGCTTGTCTTCATATACGCTAACCTCCCTTTCATCGTCACCCAACAAACCCTGCACAACTTCTCCCAATGTTGCACGGGAAGGGTCACATTGCAGAACGGCGTAGGTGTCGCGACAGATGCCGCAGCTGGGGTTTGGTTCACTGAGGGTGATACTACTGAGAGGAACGGCGGGCTTAAATTGCAGGTGAACGTTGCGGAGCTTGTCATAGGATTTGCGGAGGAGGTGGAGCGCTTGGAGGACAATTAGACCAGAGACTACGGCGTTGGTGGTGGCAATTGCAGGGATAATGTTGCCGGCCATCTCTATATAAGGACTTAGCAGAAGCTGAACATATAAGGAGAGTCCAACGCACCCTTCACCTCCCATCTCGTCTTCTCCTCAATACCATAGGCTACCGACCGTAAATTTGACGAAGCAGTAACGAAATCGAGTGTATCGTCGTCATCCTTGTCAAATGAAATTGTTTCCTCTCCGCTCTGCAAACGCGCAGCAAGTTGATTTGTGCTGGAGGGGAGGATTAGACACAAGGGGCAAACGGACTGATTATATGCGCCACTTACCCTGAGACAAACAGCTCAAGATTATCCTTCAACGATAGTCTGCGCTGGTCTTTGAGCACTGCCTGACTAGCCTGTCCGCTCGACTCGCTCAGTGATGTTGTTGATGTACTAGCATTCCCGCTTCCATTCGCAGTCCCATTAATAGCCGACACACGGTGAACAAACGTCCCATCCATGATGGCGTCAAAGTCCAGCGGCGTGGGTGGTTGCCGATTCTTCCACATGTCAGCCATGATCAAGAGGTTTTTGATATCAGCATTGAAAACCTGGCAACATGATATTAGAACATCATAGAAGGCAGCAAATGGGACGGACTTTGTCGAAGACGGCTTTTGCAACATCAGAAGAACCATTGGGTGATGGTGTGCGGAGTGCTAGACGGACGGCCCTGAATGCCTGAGCTTCTTTCCGCAGTGTCTCGATCTCCTGGGCTAGGGTTGCAGGTTAGTTGACTAATGTAAGGACGTAGAGGGGGTAAGGCATACCATTCTCGCCTTGCTTCTCAGCTTCATCAAGCTCGCCCACCGCATCTTCGTCTTCACCGAAAAGTTGACTAAGGAAGACTACGTCAGGAAATAGGCGCTCGCCGAGAAGCAGGAACTTGCCCCATAAGATAGCTTTTGCTCCAGACAATACAGTGGATGGGTTGACTGGGCGTAGAGCGGATGGTACACACGGGGAAGGTTTTTGGCGTTGGCTTTGGTACACAGTCAAAGCATTCCGTACGATCCTGCGCACTATTGAGACCATTGAGAGTCGATATATGCATGCAAGACGAACCTTGAGCAACGGTTGGACCTGACCCAGGTATCCTGCTGTACCAGACTCTACCAGAGGCACCTCTGCGGCTATACACATCTTATTGACGTGTCGACGAGCATCTAAGGCAGGTATTTAGCAAGGGCTTGGGCTTGTGAAGAATATTAGATCCACCGAGGTTGTCGAGAGCGTTCAATACGATATCGAACTGCTTGAACCACTCTGCATCATACTGCGGCTCCTTAATGTTCCCGTGAATAGGCGTAATCTTCACGTTTGGGTTGAACGGAGCAGCCGTCTGTGCAGCAATCTACGAACAAAGACAAAAATGACATCGTTAGTACTTATTGCAGATTCAATTGCGCCCGAAGTCAGCCGCACGACACGACGACCGACAGCAGAGGACAGGAATAAAAGAAGGCGCACCAAGGCTTTACTCTGCTTTACATCCTTTTTCCTAAACAAAAATTGGCGGTTGAGGTTGGACAGGTCGATGGTATCCAAATCCAGAATCGTGATGTTCCCAAAACCTGTTAAGACGATGTTCTTCACTGCAAACAAGACGCGATGTCAGCCAATTGGATATTGATATGGGAAATGAGAAGGCTAGTGGCGTACAGAGTTCACAACCGATGCCGCCAGCACCTACAAGAAGGACTTTGGTATGAGATAACTGGGCATGGAGGTCTGGGCCCAAAATCGCTTTTGCGTGGGCTGTTCGTCTTGCGGCGGTTGACATGGCGGGATGGGTGCGGTGGAAAGTCCTGTCTGTGGGGGTTGTTCGAGTGAGGCTGGGGAGAAGGTGGTCAGAGGGCAGCAGTGCTCATAGTCTATTGACAATACGGAGGTAGACGCGCTGGTAATGGATTTCCTGGTCACGAGCGCGTCGTATGCCTAGGGTCGGTCATAGGCCTTAAGGAGCCGCATTTGATAAGTCTCTGTTAGTATATCGGTTAGTACACGCGCCTGTCATATCATTAATGGCCGCGCGAAAGCGGGGTTCGACTCCCCGACAGAGAGTTCTTTTTTCCCCCCTGGCACATGCCATGCCGAACCTGCCAATACAATTAACGAGTTCACGCCGATGCGAGTGACTCGGGGCGTCAACTTCTGGCCACATGAGTCATCGAGCCACCCTAGAGAACCGTGGCACTGAGTCACACTCACTTCAATCCCTACCTCACGAAAGCCATGGTGAAATTTTTTGAGGAAATACCGGACTTTTTGATACCTTGGATCAATGAGCAGAAGATGTTCTGCGTGGCGACTGCCCCTCTGACTCCTAATGGACATGTCAATGTATCGCCCAAAGGGGCTGATGGCACCTTTCACATCGTCAACTCCAAGCAAGTCTGGTATGAAGATCTGACTGGAAGTGGTAAGTGCATGTCCATATAATTCTGCCATGACGATCACTGTTGAATAGCACAATATCATATAAATAGGGATAGAGACGATTGCCCATTTGCGCGAGAACAGACGGATCACAGTCTTATTTACGGCTTTCGATGGGCCACCCAGGATCTGCCGGATCTTTGGAAAAGGTTAGGCTATTTGTCGCTCGTGGAGAGTTTGAGCTTATGGTATTAGGGACGGTGTATGAGTTTGATACTCCGGAGTATAATGCTTTGCTCCCACCAGAGAAACGCCAGCCGGGCTCCCGCTCGATCATTATGGTTGATATTTACAAGGTTGGAACGGTGAGTGTCTGCGTCTGTTGTGTTTGTGTGCAACATGCGGCCATGTTGCTGACAACGTGCCGCTCGTTGGTCGTGTCCAGTCTTGTGGCTACGCCATCCCGTTTTATAAATTCGAGGGGCATAGGATGAAACTCCATGCGTGGGCCGTGCAGAAGCAGAACGCAGACATCGCAGCAGAGGAGGAGGCATGGGGCGGTCGTGAGCCGTCTCAAGTTGAAGAAGATCCGGTTCCGGCTGCTGAAGGGGGACTTAGGCGTTACTGGAAGGACAGCAACTCGAAAAGCTTGGACGGGATTCCGGGCCTTCGCTATGCGCCTCATTCTCGCGCACGCTTTTCATACATTGATCCGAAGGCCACTCATGAGGACCGTCCGTCCCGCTCCGCTCCACAGTGGATCAATTCACAGACAGTAGCCGCATTTGCGTTAGGCGCAATGGTGGCCAAGGTGCTTCAACAGCAGGGGTTCTGGTAAAGCCGTCACATTTGTGTATATGATAATGTGATCGGATGCAGAGAATAATGAATATTTGAATTGATGATCAAAGAAACCTCGAGTTTGGGCTAGCTCAGCTGTTGATATTTCTCATCCGCAACCTACTTTACTTCCACCATTCTAGTCACCTTGCTGAGCACACGTTTTCTAGCGTGTCTCCCTTTCCCTTTTTTCCCCTCTCTGTACTATTCCCACTAATTCCGTAGCACCCATGAGCGATTTCTCGCAGTCAACGCTCACATCTCCGCGATCCCCCCTGTTCTCGGATTCCGACCCGCCAGAACGCCAATCAGGCTCCGAGATCGTCACATCCGACGAGGAACCCGACTTAGGCGCCTTCACGGCCGTTCTGCGGGCTTGGGGTTATCTCCAACCACCACTCCGTATACCAACACATTTTCCCTCATCATCATCATCCAGAACACGTTCCACACCCACGACGATCACGGGTTACCCCGGATTTGGCGGAGGCGACAGCGAAACTGTGGAAGAGAGTACAGTGTGGAATCGGATCCCCATCCAGTCGTATTTTCGCCACATTTATGGGACTGAATCGTCGTCGGGTCGTACAGAACGCGCGAGGGGGTCGGTATTGGAGGAACTTGAAGATGAAGAATTGTTGTCGTCACCACCGCCGTCCCCCGCCTCGGAAGGCGCGAGAACGGTAGAAATCGCTTCGGAGGCTGACGCTGCCAGTGTCCGTTCTGTGACATATGAGGATGGTGCGTCTGGGGAGCGATTGGTAGTCCCAATCGCCACTCCACCTTCGGTTGACGGGAGAACGGTTTCGGTGGCTTCTGGCCATGAATCACACGACGAACAGGCCCCTTTCACTTCTCGTTCTTCAGAAACACCCACATCCCCTATGCATCCCTTCAACGACAATACTGTCTCGTCGTTGTCCTCGGTGTCGCCCACATTTTCGCAATCGAACTCTGTCTCGAATTCGAATCAGCCCCTCGATGACAACACTACAATTTCTCGACAACGTCCCTACCCATCAACCCTATCTATTGTTTCCTATCAACCGCAAATGAGTGCCGTTCGTACCCTGTCCAGCGTTTTCCAAGAATCTCCTTCACCTGCTCTTCTGATCAACTCCGGACCTCCATTCCGGGAAATCACGACGTCATCGCCGTCAGCAACTCCTCTCGACCCGCCTCAGCCATCAACACGACGCGTGATTTCCAACTCATCAAACGCCGAGTCAGATATCCTTAACTCCTACTACACCCAAGTCCCTGCCGTAGTCTCGCCTTCCACAGACCAGCCAGCCTCGGATTATCCTTGGCCAAGACGCTTAGAGATAATAGCACAGCCACCGTCGTCGTCAAGCCACCAGCCGTTGCTTGAACAAGACGATTCTCCGACCGCGCGACGTCAAACCCCTTCTATCATCGATGACAATTCATCGACTTCAGCCGTCACAGAATATACGCCACCACCTTCCGCCACGACATCAGCTGCTCTGTCTGTACTGCAGGAGATACTAAGTGCCAACGCTGAATCATCCGGAGTCTCCTCGAGTCATTCCTTAACGCCATCCCACACCATCGTGTTCCCTACTGCGCCTGCTTCTACTTCCACTTCTACCTCCACGTCTGTTTCTACTGCCACGACTGCGACTGCAAATCCCACAAGACAACCTTCATTGGAATCTCCAATTGTGTATACTAGACAACATCCTTCCCTTGCTTCCACTTATCGCGAACAACAATCTCGCACACGTACACGTATCGACACGTCGATTTTTCAGGATATGCAAACTGTTTCGTCACAACAACAACCACGTTATCATCTTCTTTCGCCGGAGGGAGACCCCGAGTATGAACAACCATCACTTGGGTACCTTGATGAGGCTCTAAGCTTTATCGCCGCTGAACGCGCGAGGTGGACAGCTGCGAGAGAGGCGGGCTTGCTTCGAGGACCGAGTCCTCAAAGACAAGAGGAAGAACAGTCGGAGGAATCGGGGGCTTGTCAGGAGGATGAGACGGGGGGATATGCTATCGGTGATTACTTCCCCTTTCTTTGAAAAAATTTGCTTCGCGCGCTCTCTCTCTCTGGATCCGTGCCTATGCTGCTCAAATTCTTTTTTTCGTATTTATTAGTGGTGGGTTTACTCGTGTAACTCCGACCTTTCTTCAATGCCCAACTTTTTTTTGCCCGCAGTTTTTTGCTTGAAGTGTGTAACCAGCCCATTGACTAACTATAGTTGAATACCAGAAACTCAGCGTGCTGAGAAGCGAAAGAAGCGTTTACAACAACAACAGCAACAACAACTCAAGTCTAACAACGTTACCATCGTTCCTGCAACCCCCACCTCAACTGCCCACGAAACCTTGAGCAGCAGCACGGATGCAGATGGCCACACAAGTGAACACCCACACACCACCTCATCTTCATCCAACAACCCTTCCTCAACAAGCGAAAACGTCCTCATTCTCAACACACCAAAGAAGAAGAAAATAAAAAAGAAGAAAAACAAATCTTCCAATGCTGCGGCTCCGACATTAACGAATAATGGTGCTAAACCTATATCCATACTGAAGCGACCGGAAAATAGCATGATTGCTTCAGGCACCTCTTTACCTTCCAACTCTAAAAACACCCTTCCCTACTCTCTTCAGCAGTCGCATTCGCACACGAATGCGAATGCGAATGCGAATGCGAATGCGTCGGGGACTCACGCCCACGGATCCATGTCTGTGGGAGTCGGACTCGAGTCTGCTTCTTTCGCAGAAGGGGCAGGGTTCGACGGGTCAGCTACGCCTCGTGCACATGCGCATGGGCATGAACGCGTTTATTCTTGGTCATCGGATAATCATGATTCCATTGATGATGACGATGATAATGACGATGAATATGAATATTCTTACGAGGAAGGGGATGGGGATGGGGATGGGGATGGGGATGGTGGTGGTTATCCGAGACCCCGTGGACCGGGTGGTGGGGGTGGGGGAGAGTGGTATATTGACAAATATGGGAGGAGGGGTCGACGTGCGGATGCAAGTCGGTCGTATATTCACCTTCGGAGTCAGGATGCTCCTTTTGGAGTGGGTTTGTCGGCATATAAATCTACGCCGAATATACCGAGATATGTTACTCCGAGAGCTGGGGGGAGTGGAGTCGATTTGGGTTGGGAGGGTGAAGAGGGGGAGGATGAATTTGCTGGAGGGGATGGGAGTGGGGATCTGAGTCAGAGCCAGAGTCAGGGTTGGAAACAGGTCTTGGAGGAGGAGGACAATGAAGAAGCTGACGATGGCGGTTCAAGCGTGCAAGAGAAAGAGAAGCAAAAGAAAAAGAAAAAGGCGAAGAAAAGAAAGTTACCTGTGACGACTGCTTTACCTGTACCGACGACCTTGTCGCATTCGCGCTCGGTGCCGGATTTACGCGCGGGGGTTGTTGATACGACGGATGATGGGGGAGAGGTTGACATCGAGATAGATTCTTCTGGTATCGATTTGCCAGGACTTGCTGGATCGTCATTCATCTCGCCATCGTCGTCGCCTTCAAAGTCGAAGAAGAAGAAGAAGAAAGGAAAGAAAGTAGTTGATTCCCTCGTGTTTCGTGGAAGTCCGTCGAGTAATATTGCTACTGCGGCATGGATTTTTGGAGAAGGAGAAGGCGGGCTCGTGCAAAGCAAACAAACGCGTTTGGTCTCACTCGCACGTCATCTTCAAATTTTATTCCCTGAAGAACGGGAACCGTTGAGGAAGGTTATACGGAAAATGGATGGGCTTTCAGCTGAGGCCGCTGCTGAGAAGAAAAAGAAAAAGAAAAAGAAAGGCGGGAGGGCGTTGTTGGACGATTGCTCGTTTGATTATAG